GGGTTGATGTGTCTGGCACTACTCACTATATTGGTCACTCCTCAGTGACAATTTATCTGCACATTGTCACTGGACATATTTTTTTTTTACTTTATTATATCCCTGATTTTATGATATATTTTGGATGAAATATTTTTTATCTATATATTCTATGTGAAATATTATGAGAGTCTATTAGTGGATATTTTACCGCTGCACCCTGTGTTTTATGATTTATTTGAAGGTTTTATATGGTACCTTTGGTGTTTAGCTGCTACTTATATGTTTTAAGCGCTCACTTACCTCTTGATTACTAATAATTCAATAACAATTGCAGCATATGACAAAGCAGATTATGTTTCACAATAGGCTATTCGATAAGGTATGACAATGTAGCATTATATGTTATTGTTTGAAGAATAGAGGGACATAGAATTAGCATTAAATTGTTCCAGTGAACAACCATTTCTAAAGTGTAGAACATGACTTGACATAATGAAAAAAACAAGCAAACACAAAACAAAAAAACAAAACAAACAGGAATTACAATAAAATATGTGACTTTGCTAAAATGTATCAAATAGGTCAGCAAACCTATTCAGTGAACATGAAGAAAAAAGCTAAAAAAAATGAGATATACAATATGGATTCTATGTGGAAGCACCTTTTTTCTGCACAAGCATATTCTAAAAAGCTGAGCTGGAAGGAATACAACTCCAGCTCTGCCACAATACTGGTTGTACACTGCAGTAACACGCAACAAAAAAAATAATATATAGTAATTTCTAGTGTCAAAACTTTATTATACAATTCAGGAAATGGTGCTCAATAACTGTGCTAAGGAGTTCACAACCCCTATCTATGAATGAATAATAATTATTATCCTTTGGATTCCCTTAGTCAGATACATACATACTCTAGATGCTTAAAATTGTATTATACTTACTTATTCTTTACAAATACACTCCGCCTTATTTCATAGGTGTAATGAACTTCGAATATGAATAAATCCACTCCAGTTACGAGGAGTATCAATTTTCAACTTATATATCCACTAATGATATTTTGACACCATTTTCAATTTAGGTTTGCTCATCAGCTGTATTAAAGTGTGGAATTAATAACTGTACTATAGTAGGTAAATTAAAATGAAAGAATTTTATTTTTGATCAAACTATGCAGAATTTTATTAATTGAAACCTGTAAAAGCGGTATAAATCGACAGAGCTTTTAACAAATGTATGTTGTTTTGTACAATGGTCCAGATATATGCTTTTACAATAATATTCCAGGAATAAAATCCAGTTCTCTGTATACAGTATATATTTAGAAAGCAGTCGACACTAGAAGGGGCTGTGTTTCTTTTCTAGGAAAGTGAGTGTCTGATGTGGAAATAATAACAGTGCTGACCTCTAGTGTTTGGAAATAAAAGAGTTATTGAGACATTTAATCCATTGAGGACTTAAACCATTTAAATTGTTATTATTAAGGATTACTCTATTTTATACAAATAAAATGTAAGCGACAAGCAGTAACACTGCAACAAGGAATTGCACTGTAAACCTCTAAAATATCTATAGACATATCATTACCAACATCTGCTAAATATTATTTTGACCGATATACTTTATAACAGAACACTGTTGAAGATCTATAGATCTTTAGTAATAATATAGCCATGAAGAAAATGTCTGGTTCTATTATAAATGATTAAATCGTACCCTCCTCAAAGTTATGGTCATATATGTGTTTTAGTGTGGAGTGTTCAAAATAAATTCTACTTTCAAAATTAAAAGGACAGGCACACTTAAGACACAAGGAAACATACTTGCTGCCTGGTAACTGAAGAAACAGTTATAGTAAAGACCAAAACACTTAAAGTAATATTAAACCCACCGTTTTGTTTATGCACTTTCAGCAGCTGATTTAATCACCTACTGAGTGTGGAGCTTTCTTTGCAGGCAGGGACTAGAGATATGTCTCTACACTGTGTGCATGAATAGAAACACACAGCCCCATAGACTAGGATAATAATGTATTCCCCTGCTCCTGCCTCCCCTAATCTCCCCCCCCCCAAATAAAAAAAACAAAACAAAAAAATAAAAAACAAACAACAGACTGATTCGAGACTGCATTTTCCACTGTTAACTCTTTCCTGTGAAGGCTGAATGTCAAGGAAAGCAGAACTGAGAGCACAAGCCAACAGTATTGAACAATTATAAGCTGCAAGTGCTGGGATAAGTTTCTAAAACGATTAGTTTCTTAAAAATAAAAAAAAAAATAATAAATACACACAATTTTTTACTGGTAAAAAAAAACATGCATTTATTTTTGGGAGCCTGTAAAGCATTACACCCATGATCAGCAGATTGCGGGTGCAGTGTTGGGCTCCTGTAGACTGTTTGTGTAGCTGCCTGCTTGTACCTCTGAAATGAGCAGCCAGTTACTGAATGACAGGAAGATCAATGAACTACCTAGCTAGAGGTCATCAGTGCCCTGGTAGTTCATTGAGAACTACAAG